AATCAGACCGAAAAATACGAAAGTGTCACAGCCACACGATTACCGACAAATTGCTTTCTCATTTCCCCATATAATTATAAAATAAATCAATTGGAATATAAATACTGTACTTCCATTTCAGTGTGAGTCTTGAGCCTGCCTTTCGCTTGTGAGATTTGTCTGAAGCATGTGACTCAACTTTACGGGGTCCCCTGTGGCTTGCCACCCCTGCACTTGCGAGCCCCCAGGTTGAGTAACACTGATTGAGATATACCCATCTCATAGAGCTGGAAGGAACCCCAAAAGGTCATTAAGTCCAGCCCCCTGCCTTCACTAGCAGGACCAAGTACCAATTTTTTTTGCCCCAGATCCCTAAGTGGCCCCCTTAAGGATTGAACTCACAACCCTGGGTTTAGTAAGCCAATGCTCAAACCACTGAGCTATCCCTCCCAACTCGATGAGTTAATGTACCCCCTGGAAGTCCTCTGCGTATACGCGTGCCCCTGATTGAGACCCACTGATCTCAAGAGCTGAGGGCCAAGTCTCTTGACTGCCCTGTTTGCCCAGGGTTGTGAAGATCATGGGCCGTAGTGGATGGCGGGGGCTGCGCCGTGAGACTGAATTGGGGGCGGGGAGCCTGGCGCCTGCTTTTGGGGTCACTTCAGGCCTGGGGTGAAATTCAGAGGAGCCGACGTGATTGAGGAGACACAGGGTCATTTTCCCAAGCGACAGGCGTGTCGGGCCAGCTTTTTAAAAAGCCTTTATTAGCCTGGCTCCTGCAGTGGGAGGAGACGATGCAAGGAGTTAGTTACACTGCAGCTGGGGGTGACTGAGCACCTGAGGAGAGGCCCGGGGCCACGTGCTCCAGCCAGGCACCCCAGCTGCCGGGGAGATGTACCCCAAGTGTCACTGCAAGCCAGCGGCTGGGGGCTCTGGCTTCAGACACCTCCGTGCAAATGAACATCCCCGCAAAGGTGCAGCCGCTGCCAGGTAAACCGCCCGTTTGGCTCCCAATGTGAAGGGCGGGGCTTTGATTATGGGGGGGGGAGGTTTGGTGACTCAGTGAACTCGGTTACCCAGAAACCACCAGTCGTTCTGCCCTGCGATCTGCGGGGTGGGGAGGGAAGCAGCGGGGTAGGGAGGGAAGCAGCGGGGCTGAGAATCCGGCCAAGACTCAGAGGCCTGGGGAAGAAAACTGCCCGGATGGATGGGACATTTGCGTTGGAAACAGGAGAGCAGAAAGTCATCCCAAGTGATTAATGACCTGCGAAGAATGATAGTGGTGGAAAAAGAGGGGCGGTCAGCCAGGCTGGGCTGGAGTCTTCTCCTGCATTCATTCCCCGTCCCTCCCTCTTCCATTTTCACTCTCTCTTCCAATGCTTTGTTCACCCCTGTTTTTCTCCCTCTCTCTAGTCGTCCCCCCCATTTTCCCTCTCAGATGCCCAGAGAGCCCCAGAATCTGCCCCTTCCCCACTCCCTGCAGAATGCGCCCAGAAGATGCTGGGGAGACCGGCTGCTGGGGTCAGACCCCGAGGCCGGCAAGTGGGGTGTGTGTGGGTGGTGGTGGTGGGTGGGGGGGGGCGGTATTCAGGTGAACCTAGAAACTCCCAGTTTCCAGCCGCTTCCCCTATGGACAGATGCAGTACTGGTATAAGCATCTCTATACCAGTATAACGCCACCATAGCGGGGAGTGGGGCATTGCTTTAACAATAGTATAGCCGTCGTGAAACCAGTGCCCTGTGGTGTGCAGATGCTCTTACATGGATTTAAACCTGGCCCAGCTCCTGCTGGGGGAATGTACAGGTGCAAGTTAAACCGGGAGAAACAGTTTGACGTAGAGATGAGCGTCCACACCCAAAAGCTGCGCCGGTGTTAACGAAAAGCCATTTAACTGGTGCAGCTTAAATTGACGGGACGAATCTCACGGGCCTAACCCACCTTTATACAGCTGTAACTGCAGTCACAACGCAGGGCCTGCCCCGCTTTATCCCCGCTGGTTTCAGAGGGCTGTAGGTAGGGGTCAGTCCCGTGGCTTAATGCAGAACTGGACTGTCCAAAGAACCTGCCTAGACCAGAGGACAAAAACTCTGCCTAGATAAGCCCTTCGTTTCCTTCATAGCCTTCTTTGAAGGGCTTTAGCAAAGGCATTTGGAAAGTCGAAAGGGCCCCTCTGCCCTTTCTCTTATCTACTGTGGTGCGGACGTGTTCAAAGGACGCGGGTCTTTGCCAGCCCGCCCACGTCAGGGCGAGACGCGGCTCGTCTGAGCAAGCAGCAGTTTGCGTCCCGCTTCGCCCTGGTGTAACTGATTTCCCAGGGCGTCTGGCCAGCAGAGAAGCAGCCCCAGACCTCTCCAGGAGATTGGAGCCGGGTGATTTTCCTTTCCAGGAGCTGGGTTCGCTATTTACTTAAGGGCCTGGTCTGGCTGCTACCGCTGTAGTACCAGAGCATCTCCCAGTCTGTATCCTCACCTCCCGGCTTGTGGGGCTGGGCCACGCTGTTATCCCCCTTGTAGAGATGGGCCACTAAGGCCTGGAAAGGCTAATTAATGGGAGCGAGGCAGCCGATGACCTTGGAGGAGCTGGGCCTACATAACATGTCCAATGCGATACAGGACACCGGTAAAAGAGCAGGGAATCAACCCCAGCTCTTCTAAGTCTGAGGCTACTGCACTAACCACTAGGCCATCCTTCCTCCTCGCCCCACGCCCCCGTGACAAAACCAGGCTGGGCGCTGGCTGCCATCCGGCCCCCAGGCAGAGCTGTCAACGTCCAGGAGACGCACGGCGCGGCTTTTAGCCAGTAGCCCAGCCACCACGTTCTCGTGTTCCTGGGGGAGTGCCCTCCGATCCTGGCTGCGCTTCATCCCACCGGGCTGGCGATGCTGCAGGGAAAAGGTTGGCGAGAACCGAAGGCTGGACGTTGAAGCCAGACCCACCCAAGCGAGGGTGATTAACACCGGAACGAACTGCCCGGGGAAGCGGGGACTTCTCCAGCTCTTGACGTCTTCCGGGCTTTAGCCGAATGCAAGTTTGGGGGGCCAACGGAAGGGCTTTCTCTGGCCTGGTTATACAGGAGGGCGGCCTGGAAGATCCAACGGTCCTTCCATGAATCCTGCACTGGGGCGGGCAGATGGGGCTGGCTCGGGCTGCTCCCTCGCCAGCTTTTCTGCCACAAGGGAGGGGGATTTCAATCCAGCCGCGGAGCGTAGGGGCGTGATTGGCCTGAGGCTCGGGGGGAAATCAGGAGCAGGCACGGCCGCGCCACCGGGGTAAAGCCGGAGTAAGCAGGAGGCGACGGAGTGAAAGCAGCGTTCCCCTCCCCCTCTGTATTATTTCTGCTCCCGGCTAATATTTGGATTTCTGCTAGACGCGGTGGGAGTGGGGCCGCGAGGGGAGGGGCTCGCACAAAAAGCCCTTTGTTCCCTGCCCCGCTATCAGCCCCAAGACTTTGCCAGCCGGGGCTGCCGGGCGAGATGGGGCAGCGAAATGCCAATCGCTGCACGTCTGGGGGGCAAGGGAGGGAGCCATGTGGATGGGGGGAGGGAGGGAGGGCTTTGGTGATAAATCACCCCCGGAGCCGGCAGCTCTTAGTAAAATAAACTCTGGAAAATGTTAAAAAGTCTTGGCTGCTCCCCCACCTCACCCCGGCCTGGAGCAGGGTGGGGCCGGCAGAGGGGGGTTAACCCTTCTCAGGGCTGCATGCAGCCTGGGGGGCAAGAAGGGCTTGGGACGGACTAGACAAGGTGGGCATTCGATTGCCCCCCCACAACCCCGTTTCATTATCGAGCCCAGGGAGGGGGTTGGGAGGGTTCGGACATTCAGCAGCGACGCCAAAACACCCCGGGCCCGGCCCCCCGCGCCCCAGTACTCAGAGCCGGGCTGGGCTAGCGGGTGGCTGGGAGATCTTGGAAACAAACTGGGGGGTGGGGGGGGTAGGTTCTCCCCTCTGACTCCCCTCTGAGTCAGTGCCCTGCTAGGGGGGCACTGTGCTGCGGGGCGGGGGCTCAGTAGGGGGCACTCTCCCCTCTGAGTCAGTGCCCTGCTAGGGGGCGCTGTGCTGCGGGGCGGCGGGGGGGCTCAGTAGGGGGCACTCTCCCCTCTGAGTCAGTGCCCTGCTAGGGGGCGCTGTGCTGCGGGGCGGGGGAGGGCTCAGTAGGGGGCGCTCTCCCCTCTGAGTCAGTGCAAGGGGGGCAGACAAGCCCCAAACCCTGCTCCATCATTAAAGATCCCCCAGCAATCTCTTGTGGCCAATTCCCTTCTGCCGCCCGAATTCACCAGCAGTCCCCCGGACGTGAAATTTTCTTTCCTGTCCCGTCCCAAAGAGCAAGTGCCCTGTTTGCCACGTCTGTGCCCGCCGGGCACAGGGACGCGCCCGCAGCCCTCCTTGGGCTCCTCCGAGATCCAGGCGGAGCACGCTGCCAACGACAACGTTTCTCTGCGAGCCCCCGAGCGGTCCCTGGAGACCCAGAGCGACACCCCCCCCCCAGATCCCCAGCCTGGGGTCTCTCTGGCCTCTTACCTTGTCCATTCCCTGGGGTCAGGCCCAGCTGAACGGCTGCTTTTCACAAGGGCAGATAGCCCATGCCCAGAGCTGGGGTTGGGGTGCGTGGGCCACCCGCCGGGGGCACTACTAGTCTGAACCCTACTACTAGTCAGATCAGGCAATGCCCTGATCTGACCCATCCCCCCTGAAAGGCTCCCCTAATCCCCCTCCAGGATATAATAAGCCCCCCGAATGCTTGTCAGCCTCCCCACCCCACCCTTTAGCTGTGCCCTGGGAAAGCCCCATTTTAGGGATGAGCGGGCGCTGGGCTGGTGCCAGGACGCCTGGGGTCTGTTTCCACGGGACGATGGCAGGGAAAGGGGGCGATGATCCGGTCTGGGAGCTTGCCGGGCTCCCGCTGGGGCTGCCCGGCGCACGGTGCCCCCTGCTCTCGGTCGGGGCTCAAGGTGCTGCCGTCGCCCTTCCGGGGATTTTCCCTGGCAGGGCCACCCTGAGCCCCGGCTCCGTGTGGTTGCAGTGCGGGGCTCCCAGCGCTGCGAGCTGAACTGCCGCCCGGTGGGGTACCGGTTCTACGTGCGGCACACGGAGAAGGTGCAGGACGGCACGCCGTGCGAGGCCGCCTCCCTCGACATCTGCGTGGCTGGAGAGTGCTTGGTAAGTGAGGTGGGGGTGGGGGCGTGTACATGCGGGGTGGAGCTCTGTGCCCCGGGACCCCCTCCCCCCAGGACCCACTGCTCTAGGCCATGTCTGTGGCTGGAGTTCAAGGGAGAGGGGAACAGGGTAGATCTGGCCTGGAGTGGGGCATGGGGACGTCTGTGGGTCTGAGCAGCAGGCCGGGACCCCGGACCCCTGGGTTCTCTTCCCGGCTCAGCCACTGACAGACTCAGTGACGTTAGGAGAGTGGTGCCCGTGTTCCGTGCCTCAGTTTCCCCCTTGGTGCAAAAGGAGGGAGCCCCCAGGGGAAGGACGCTGGGGGTGGGGAAGCCCGGAGCCCGGCCCCACCCAGCAGCCCTCACCCACCGGCTCAGCTCCATCTCCCCTTCCCCCCACCCCCTGCCCCTCGCTGGTGGTCTGTCCATTCTCCCAGCCCCTCTCCGCCATGACCTTGAGCACTGACGGCATGGGTGTGTGTGGGGGTAATTTATACTCTGCGTTTAACCCCCGAGTTTAACATCTGGCCTAGCTCAGGTCCCCCTCCCTGCCTTGCTCAGGTGGACACCCCCATACCCCCAAAACTGCCCCCAGGAGCAGCGGCACCTCTTGGCAGAGCAGGGGTGCTCCCCTGGCTGCAGTCGGGGAGCCGCCCGTGCTCTGGGGTCCCTCGAGGGAACAGGACAGAAACGGGGGGAGTGCTGCAGAGGGGCCTGTGTTGGGGAAGGGTCATGGGGCCAGCCGAGGCATCAGCGTGTGAAGGACGGGGCCGATGTGGTCACATATCTCTGGGCTTATGGAGTCCGGCTGGGGCCTGGGTGAGAATGGGGGCGGGCCCCTGATTTAAGGCAGGCCCTGGTTAGTTTCTCAGGGGCTCACCTGGGAACCCGCCTTTGCGCCGTCACCCCCTCCCCCCATAACAGGCTGCTCCAGGGCCTATTCGGAGAGGTGGAGGGATCCCCCCAGGCCAGGGGGTCGGGCGGTGAGTGTGTCGGGTCTCAGCCCAGCTCCTAGTGCGATGTGTGTTTGCTGCTCCCTCTCCAGGCTGCCTTCCAGCCAGGCCAAGCTTCGGCCAGGGAGGGGAGGCCAGTCAGAACATGGCCAGGGCAGTGGGGTGCCCGTTCTGCACAGGGATCATGGGCACGGCAGGGGAGCCGGGGGGCTGGCAGGGGTGGATCTAGGTGGCGGGGAGGAGCCCTCACTGTGGCCCTGTCCCATCCGAGTCCACATGCCTGTTTCTCCCTGGCCTTCGCTCCGCAGAGCCCCGGCTGCGACGGGGTCCTGGGGTCCAACCGGACGCTGGACAGCTGCGGGGTGTGCGGGGGCGACCACTCCACCTGCAAGCTGGTGGTGGGCAACTTCAGTGACTCCAACGTGCCCATCGGCTACCACAAAATCCTCGAGATCCCCCAGGGCGCCACCAGGATCAACGTGACTGAGATGACCCGGAGCCCCAACTACCTGGGTAAGGGCTGGGGCAGGCCGGGGTGGGGTGGGATGGGATGGGGAGGACGGGGCTCGTCACACCAAGGGACTCTTGCATTGGGACTTGTGCAAGCTCACATGCACACACGTGCGCTATACACACACACCGGACTCACACATCTTGCATACCCACACCTTGCACGCTACACACACAAACACGTGTGTGCCTTATATGTGTGCACAGCTGTTGCTCACACATTTTGCACAAGCATGTGGCTTCCATATTGCCTGCACACTTCACGCACAGGCATCACAAGCACATGCCTTGCACCTGGCTTGCCTACCTTGCCCACTCGCATGGGTCTCATGTATGCACACCTGGCACGCACGTTTTGCATGCTCGCTCCTTGCACATGCCCAGCTCACATGCGCTGCCCACACACCTTGCACGAGCACACTGTGCACAGATGCATTGCACGCATGTGCCTAATACACGTACACCTGGCATGTACCTCTCCTGCATCACCTGTGCACTTTGCACACACCTTGGGCACGTGCTGCACATGCAAACCTTGTGTACACACACTATATCTTCATGCAGGCACACCTCATATAGACGTCACACACCCGGACACCTCACACTCAGTTTGCACGCTCACCTAGCTGAGTTAAGGGCAGGCAGCTCTCCTGCTCCAGGGTCTCGGCTGATTGCCTGCATGGTCAGGAAGGTGTTTGGTAAAATCCCTTCTGTGCAGCTCTGTGCTCTAGGCAGGTGTGTATTCTCTGACGCACCAGGTGTTGGCACCGACGAGGGGCATGATCCACGGGGCAAGGAGCTGATGTGATGGGATAGCCCAGCGCTCCCAGGGGAGTTTGGGTCCAGATTGGCACTTTGCAGCTCAGGCCATTTTCTAATGGGATCTGGGACAGCCAGTGTCATGCACCTACACTTCTATGCACAGAGATGTGCACACATATACACAGGTACACAGATATGTGCACATATGTGCACCTACATATGCACACTTTCATAGATACACCCACGTGCAGGCCATGCGCACACACACACAGACACACGGGTAACCTGAAACACACACGGACACAGACACTTCCATGTGGGCACATAGACACACACATTCATAGACCCACACACGTGTCCTGTACAGTGACACACAGAGATGTGTACACAGACATACACATGTGTATACTGACACACAGAGACATATACACACACCTGTACACTGACACACACAGACATACACACATTCCCCTGTATACTGACACACACAGACATGCACATACTCCCCTGTATACTGACACACACAGACATGCACACAGACACACACCCCTGTACACTGACACACACAGACGTATACACACACCTGTACACTCACACACACACACACCCCTGTACACTGACACACACACACCCCTGTACACTGATACACACAGATACACCCACACACATACACTGACACACATACACACACACACCCGTACACTGACACCCACACCTGCATACTGACACACACAGACATGTACACTGACACACACCTGTACACTGACACACACAGACATGCACGCAGATCTATACAGGCACACGTGTACACTGACACAGAGACATGCATGCAAAATCTACACGGACATTTGCACACAGACACAACATGGACACACGTGCACACACACACTCCGAGTGCACCTTTCACTAGCTGCCCTTATACCACGCAAGCCGCCCAGGCTCCCCCTTCTTGCCAGGCTGTGCTGTGACCACAGCCCCCCAAGGTGGCAGCTCTCCCTGTGCCCCAGGGCATGGGCTCCAGGGCCGCAGTCCATGCAGAGCACGGCGGGGTCCCGAGTGAGCACGGGGGAAGTCCCAGAGTCACCCACAGGCTCAGGACGCTCACGTCGCCCCCCCTCTGTGCGCTGCAGCCTTGAGGAGCCGCTCTGGGAAGTCGATCATCAATGGGAACTGGGCAGTGGATCCCCCCGGGCGCTACGAGGCAGGCGGCACCGTCTTCGTCTACACCCGGCCGGGCCACGAGGAGCCCCGCGCGGGGGGAGAGTCACTGACAGCCGAGGGGCCCACCACAGAACCCATTGATGTGTATGTGAGTACAGAGGGGGCCTGGCTCGTGGGGGATGGAGAATGGGAGAGCAGGGAGGGATTCTGGTCCTGAGGGCAGTGGGGAGCAGTCTAGGGTCGGGGGGGTTCCTAAGCCCTGGGTGGGAGGGATCCCAGGGAAGGGGGCTGGCAGAGGAGCCGCCGGTTGACTCCACGCATGGCAGGCTGTGGCAGACGAGACTTGGAGGCCAGCTGGGTAGCCTGTTGAATGGCGGGTGTCCCCCGCCCCCCACCCCCTCCAGGCGCCCTGCTCAAGCCGCTCTCTGTCGTCTCCCCCAGATGATCTTCCAGCAGGACAACCCCGGCGTCGCCTACCGCTTCTTCCTGGCGGGGGCCAGACCAGACAGCCCCGCCCATGACCCTCCCGGCCGCCGGCAGGACGTCAGTAAGGAACTTCCTATCACCTTCAGAGGGGCCCTTCCCCCCATCACCTGCGGGGAGCCCTTCCCCCATCATTCCCTGGGGGCCCTTCCCCCCCATCACCTCCTGGAGGCCTCCCCCCATCACCTCCCAGGTGGCCTTCACATCCCTAACACCCCCCGAGGGGCCCACCTCCCCCCGGAGGCCCTTCCCCCCATATCACCCATCGAAGGCGCCCTTCTGCTCTCTCCTCCAGGTGCCCTGACCATGTTGTCACCAAGCGACCAGCTGGTGCCGCCCACCTCTTACAATCACCCCATGGGGACCCGGCACCGGGCGCCGGCACCGGCCAGCCAGTCAGGCAGGACCCCCGGGACACTGCAGCGCAACGTCCGCGTCCCACCACTGTCGCCCCCACCCTGGCACCAGCCGCACGACGTCTATTGGAAACGGGTGGGGAGCACAGACTGCTCCGCCTCCTGCGGGAAAGGTGAGCGGCCCCCGCAGCCTGTCCCCTCCTCCGCCCTGTCCCCCTGTG